GGGTGGCTCTTGGCCTCTGACATCAAAATGACATAAAACAGCCCTTCTTGTAAGTCCTATAGTATATGTAAGCCCCGAGGCAAATTCCATCAGCCCCACACAAGAAGCCAAAGCATGCTTCAGTATTTGAAGGTATCAGATGGCTTCATGCATGTCATTCAAAGCAGTAAAATGAATCCATTAAAATACATTCTCAAGAGCTCTTTCATGGTGCTCTATAATCATAACTGAACCATTGACTTCAATGGATAAAAAAATGGAGTAAAAATTACATTGATAGAGGAGATAGTGTTTGGATTCATGCAGCATGCTCAACTAGACCAAAAGGGAGTTGTGAATCTCATGGTTTAGTGGCATGTCGGAAATCTAGTGCTGCTTTAGCATTTTGTGGGAACCAGGTGTCACCTTCAGCCATTATGCAGTTTATTCATTTTGGCATCATACATTGTGTGAGCATAGCCATCGTATTTTGTTAACCTGAATTGAGGATTGTATGTTGTGTGAATGCAGGAGGAAGAGGAGTTGTCGACTAAATCCATGCTTCTGATCTTGGAGTGTCTTAAAGGGCCCACATTTGGGTCTAACTATTATCTAACACTTGAACTGAGAATACATTTAGTGAGTGAGGACCAAGGGTGGGAGATGAATGGAGGGGTAGGAAATAGTGGGGGGTTCCATTTTTCCAGATCTCCCCTCCCTCTTGTCTTTACATCTGTAACTGTAGAACACAATGAATAATTTTTAACAGCTGTCCATTCCTTGGGAGGCTGGTTAATGGCATCTAACCTCTCTCAAAAGCAGGACAGCACAGTTTGGGGGAAGAAAACAAGGTACCTTTGAGTGGTATGCTGGTGATCACAGTCCAAAAACTCCATATACTGTATGCATGGACATGTATCCATCAAGCTACTCCCTTTCAGGGCAACCAAATATATATAAGGAGTGGAAAGGGAATTGGAAACTGTAAGCCAGAGAAATTAAGGCAGGAGTTTAAAAATAGTAAAATACAACTACTGTAACTCTAGTTCACAACACGGCCATTCACTATCCTTCTGGGTTCCTTTCTGCCTTTACAAACCATTGTTGCTTCCACCATGCATCAGTTCCAAAATGTAAAGGGGAAAAAGTGAGCAGAGACAGGACAAAGCAATTATGATTTCATTTCAATTCAATTTCAGCTCAATGAAGACATTAATTAATTAATTCAATGCTTTTTTCTTCCCTTCTGTTTAATAACATGCCCACTCTATCATATTATTAAGGCAGCGCTGGTTTTAGGTTTGAAGGACAATGTTCAGTCAGAAGTGATTTTTTTTTTCACACAGAACCCCTGAGAAGATTCCGTCAAATGCTCCCATTCCATGGAACACCGTTGGAAAGTCATGATGGTTGCAAGATGGGCAGATTTTTAAAAAAGCAAGCAAAACAGAACACCTTGTCACAATTTATAGTGTTAATGACGTGTTGGTCTCCGCTGGCGAACAAACTTTTGCAGATCCCAAAACTCTAACTGAATAAAAGAATTGCATTTCCTGTACATTATTTGTACAAGCTGGTTCTTGCCTTCAAAATACAAAGTCATTGGAATGATTTTCTTCCAGCTGTTCTTTGCTACCCTTCTTGCAACATTTCTTTTGTCAGTCTTGAGTTGCTGTTTAATTCATAAATGGATTAATAAATCCATTAATAAATGGAATTCAATTAGAATACCTGGTTAGTTAAACCAAAAATGGCAAAGACAGTTTCCCTTTCTTGCTGATTTCTTTCAAAAGCATTATAGTTGTTGTTTTTGTCATTACTATCATCATCATCATCACCGAAGTTGACAAACAAACCAAGAGATGGGCAGGGGGGAATCTGAGGATTTCATAAAATAAAAAGAAAATCAGGCATGGTTAATAATACCGTCATATTATTATGTTTTAATTAATTATATTTTAAATTATGTTCAATTATTATGTAATAATTGAACATACATGTTCAATTATTACACATCTCTCAGTTGATGCAGAAACTCCACTTTCATTTCTTGCATTTTGAAATTACTTTTCCACCTCCCAGCATGCATTGCCTATGAAAAGGCAGAGAGACCACCCAAGATCCATGTTGCCTTTCCAGGTGGGGCTGAAGCATGGGAGTTCAGTGCAAAAGACCAGAATGTTTAGCAACACTGTTCACGTGAATAATCATCAAAATTATTTTATATAGGCAAGCTGCAGCCCTCCAGATGTTTCTGAACTATATGTATATATATATTCCCACCATATCTCACTGCAACATCTGGAGGGCTGCAGGTTCAAATTATCTCTTTTTTTTAATATTAATTCCTCTGTAGATGATGATGATGATGATGATAGATGATTAGATAGATAGATAGATAGATAGATAGATAGATAGATAGATAAATAGATAGATAGATAGATAATGTGCCATCAAGTCATTTTCAAAGCAATCACATAGATAGATTTCTACTTTCTATCCATGTAGTTTTCTTGGTAAAACGCAGGAGTGGTTTACCATGGCCTTCTCCTGTGCAGTGAGAAATGGTGCCTTTGTCACTAAGTGATCATCTGCCTCTGGCATCTTCCTCTATCACTGCTGACCAACACAGGTACCTTCTTGCTTTAGCTGGGTGGCTGGGATGACCTTCACACCTTGGATGACCCTGCTGGGAATATATACTCTTGGCATGCACTCCCCATGTTCTTCCCTGATCCACCCTAGGAACAGCCCCACCAGCACAATGAGGCAGCACAGCAGGACTTGGGAGAGAGATGAGAGATGAGAGATGAGAGAGAGAGAGAGAGAGAGAGAGAGAGAGAGAGAGAGAGAG